CCTTATGAATTACATTCTCCAGCCCAGAAACAGCAGAGTACATTATATGATTAACATTTTAAGACTCTTTTTTTAAGGCCGAGTAAAAAGGATTTTAAATAATTTGTTTTTAATGCTTGTATCAATATCAAATGACTTACCATGATCTTTTTATTGGTGGCATTTACTTTTTTTGCTTCTCCGTCTTGTTTGAGGATAAAAGATTAGCTGTAGAGTGTATTTTAAGTGATTGCCTGATTACATTTTAATGCCTTACCAGAAATGTAGAAATATTTTAACGAAATGTTGAAAATGTTTGATAGAAAATGAAATAGATTATTATTAAGTTAAAATTATATCTAGTGAAAAGTCAGAATATAATTACTGCGGTTTTCTCATCCTAAAACCAAACTGCAAATTTAAATAAACCATCACTAATACGGTATCATAATGGTATGTATCACTTGTAAAACATCAATCTAGAAATCATGGGGACAGTTTAATTTCACTTGTAAATTAGTAGTGAGGTGTCCAGGGCATGAAGACGAAGGAGTCTTTCCAGATTTTGTAAACTAGATGGGACATTAAAAAATGTGGCTGAGGGAAGGCAGCATTGCTGATGGTTACCAGAGGAGCATCTGGTTAGGATATGCTGTAGTACTGAGGTCTAGGATAGTCTTCAAACTCAGGACCTGCCTAATTAAGCACACACAGGATACTGACTGCTGCTAAAATACTAAAGGAAGTCCTAACATATATATCTGAAATGTCAAACAGTCTTGTGGGACATTTTCAGTAGTGACATTTTTAGTGTATCATGTGCAATCCTGAATCGAGCACACTTTCCCACCCAAGGATTAGTGTATAAAGGCCTTATACCTCTGAGAGCCCTTAGGAAGGCAGGTCCAGGCAGGCTGAGCCAGGACCTCAACAGCTTTCTTCTTCACAGACACAATGAGCAAACTGAGCTTCATAAGCCACTTTTCTGTTCCTGTTCTTGAACACAGCTGAGGGAATTGTCAGGTGTTTTCAAGGAAGTGGTCAGTAAAATAGCTTTGTGCTCTTAACACAGACCTTCTTTTTTCTAGGCCAAGCTGAAAGGCACCCAGTACCTGCCACTGCTACCCAGTACTGCTATCAAGTACCTCTGTGGCAGTGGCTACTTTGCTGTCTCTTGCTTATATGCTACTCTACACCTTCATGGTTGGTTTCTTGCAAGTACCAACCATTCTCTGGCTCTGGAATCTGTTATAGATAACTTCTATATTGGGACTCTAAAGTCACTTTGAAAAGATCTTGAGGTTTTATATCGAGTGCTACAAAGTGTTTCATACACTTCTTTGACTTTTACTTATATTTATGTTTGCCACACTTTTCCTCAAAGGCTGAAAAATGAATTCACAGATTCTTACCTGGATATAAGTTCAGAGTTTTAGGGGGTTATGTCATGCCTAAGTGGATCAACTGATTGAAGTGCAAGAGCAGCTCCAAAGGGCAAACATTAATGAAAAAGAATAGCACATAATCTTTTCTCCTTTGGGAAGGTTTAGCAGTCACAGGTCAAGCAAAATACCTTAAGAAAGCTGGCAATATTCAGAAATGTTTTAACGAAGAAGAAAAGGAAAATCAGTGTCTACCATCAGATGCCCTTGGTCAATTCCCAAGGACTCGCATGGGACACCTGTGCATTAGAGGACAAAAGCTGACCTTAAAGATGTAGAGAGTGCCCTGTGCAGCACTCAAAGGGCAAGGAAAGCCATTTAGTATCCTCCACAAATATCTCCTGCTGAGAGCCTTTCCTTGGGAAGTGAGCCCTGAGCTTTTTGTTCTACGGTGTCAATCTGCTGACTTGCCCAGAAGTATTCCTCAGATCAAATTTGTCAGCTTTTTAAGAATAAATGTTCTCCAGCATGTGTCAGAGATGAAGTTTGTCCTGTAGGATCTGTCTGTAATAAAATAATTCTAGTGAAATCACAGTATGGAATTATGCAATTTTTAAAATAAAAAATCACTCTGTAAAAATATAATCAAGTGAAAAGTGAAATGTCTAAATTAAAAATTACATTTTACAGTTAAACTTCCACAGTGTAACACTGGAAAGTACTTTCAAATAGGATTACCCCTTAATGCCTTACCGGAAATGTAGAATTATTTCAATGAAAGAAAATGTTCGATAGAAAATGAAATAATTATTATTAAGTTATTTTTCACTTAACTTATTTTAAAATAAGTTATTTTATTAGGTTCATTTTGACAGATGTATTTTCCAGGATTACATCACAGCAACAAAGATATCCTATCATGTCTAAAGCACTGAAGGCTTAGTTTACTTTCAGTCATAGGGTAAAGAAATTTAATTAAATCTAAAATTTGGACTTGCTTGTGCCACTAGAACTTCTGAAAACTCATTTCAGAAATTCCATTAGAATACCTGTTACAGTAATGGGCAACATTTTTAAGACAAAAATCCAGTTGCAGATATATATGAGAAGCTAGATATTTACAATGATGGCTCCCATTTATTTTGCTGGGATCTAGATTACTGCTGATGTCCATCACAAATAAGTGTATTTAAACTTTATCGGGCTTTGGCTCCTAACATAAGAAATCCTAAAGAACCTATCTTTGAGAAAGATGATCTTCAGTTCTGTATCAGGTCCCTTTAGAAGGAAGGCCTCATGTTGGGAATACCAAATTGAGGCACCCAGAATTAGGAAGTACTTTTTGAAATTTTAATTTAAACCTTTACCTGTAAAAAATCAGATTTTAGACTTTAAAATTTAAATAATAATACAAATATTAAATTCTGAATATCTATTTCTGACAGTAAGATGACTCATACTGGATTAATACAACTTGTGATTCTTTCCTTGGTACTCTTCTGAACTTTACCATTACAGGACTGCAACAACCACGGATTTCAAGAGGTAGGAGGAAAGATACCCCATTAAAGTTTGAACTGGTACCCAAAGGGAGAATGGTTGCATTGATTTAAAATACCAGAGAGAGAAAAAAAAACTATAATTAATTCTTCCAGACAATTACAGATAAGTATAGAAAGGAACAGAAATGGACACAAATGTGGGCCAAGTTCTTCCAGCATTGTACTGCCTCTTGTTATTATAGGGAAACCATGATGTTCTACTCAGAACTTTCTGCTCAGAACTTTTGACCATTATTTAAAGATCCACTTTTTCTAGTTCTCAACCCGTTAAGTCTTGCGCGACAACTTCACAGAATCACTCATATGAGAGATGCTCTGGTCCCTTAATCATCTTAGTGGCCCTTTGTTGGACTTTCTCTAGTAGCTCTGCATCTCTGTCGTACAGGGAAGCCCAGAACTGGACGTAGCACTCCCAGTACTGAGTAGAGGGGAAGGATCACCTCCCTTGACCTGCTGGTCACGCTCTGCCTTATGCAGCCCAGGATAGCATTAGCCTTCTTGATGCAACAGTGCATCGCTGGGTCATATTCAACTTGGTATCCACCAGGACCCCCAGGTTCTTTTCTACAGCTTTGCAGCACATATTGAGGCATGCGTCTGTTGCTAGGTGCAAGACTTCACACTCCTTGTTGAACCTTATGAGGTTCCTTTCAGTCCATTTTTCCAGCCTGTCAAGGTCCTACTGGACGGCAGTCCAACCCTTTGGTATATCAGCCACTCGTCACAGTTTTTTCCTCTGCAACATGCTGAGGGTGTGCTCTGCCCCATCATTCAGATCATTACTGAGGATGATGAACAGGATAGAACCCAGTTTTGACCCCTGGGGTACCACTAGTTACGTGCCAGGTAGACCTTGTGCCACTGGTCAAAACTCTCTGAGATTGGCTTTTCAGACAGTTTTAAATCCACATCACTGTCTACTATTACTGTCTGTCTTATGACGTTCTGCTAAATAAAATGTGTCTCTATGGAGAGCTTATTGTCTTGCTCCACATCTAGCCCAGGGGAATCCACAGCTTATCTTGTCTCCTTTTGCAGAATCACAGATGGCAGGGTTTGGAAGGGACCTGTGGAAATTATCTACCCCATGCCTTCTTTCAGCATCTGCCTGGGTGCGGGGCTGAACACCAGCAGAATGCTCTTGATGTCCTACTTCCATCTTGTGTGTCTGCCTGTGACTCCCCTTGTACAGATCTGGATTCCCCAGAGGGCACTGTGCAGCCCACAGTTACGAAGTGGTCAGAATTGCCAAGGATAAAAGATGCTGAAAACACATCTACAAAAGCAACACTACACACCATCAAGACAGTTACTTGTCCCATGATAGCTACAATAACTACTCTTCCTCCCAGAGGTTCATGTTGTCAGCAGTGCTTTTCTCTAAAAATTGCAAAATAAACCCAAACTCTGCTTCTTCATCATCCTTTTTCATCTCAATATCAGTAATGGTGGTAATGCTGTTGTTGACATATGGTAAATATTTCAGGTGTGTATGTAGTGTATTAGTTAAGGCTTGGCTTAGATCTCAGCTTCTGTGGGCAGGCACACAGCTCTGAAAGAATCCGCTGTGCTTCACAGCAGCTGCTCCCCGTGCAGCCGTTGCTTGGGAATTTTTTGGTTATTTTTTAAAAATTGTGTGAGGGAAGCAAGACGACTGGACCTTTGGCAGGTAGGAGAGCTACAAACATACCCACTGCTTGGCAAGAAACTCATACCCTTTGGAGTGCACACAAAGTCCCTTTGCCCATCAAAGCCAAACTCACTCTTGTCCTGGATTTATGTTGCCTTCAACAGTTAATTGGCCTAGATTAACAGTATAAGCACTGAGTATTCCTCATTATCAGAATGTGTTAAGATCCACGCCTTGCCCCAAGACGATTTCTGAGAAAGTACTGAAACAAACAGAATGATGCTAGTATGAAAAGAGTTAATCACAGTAGTAAAAAATTCAACAATCCCTAGCTGCCCCCAAGCAGAGATAGACGAGAATAGACGAGATAACAAACAAGACATTGATTGAAGAAAATATTAAAATTTAATTCCACCAAGCAAAATCTAGTGAAACGACTCCAAAATATTACAAACAACTCATATTTTATTGCAAAAAATTAATACTATTCCAGATAAGAAAGACAAGCTTGCAGAACAGGATCAATTTAATCAGAAAATTGCTTACAAAGGACTTGCTCTTGCTCCCACAGATAGCAACAGCATTTTACAGGCAGACTTCAAGGAAAACCAAATTTGAACCTTTGAATTGTTATTGTTTTTTACAAAAGTATTTATCTCAAAAAAGCAATAAAGGACAAAATGTGCCTCCACTCTACGCCATTTAGGTGTTTTCCTGTGGAGGATGTCTCTCAGAGTTACATCAGTCTCCATTATGTACATTTGTAATCTTTTAAAAACTAATTATCCCCTTGAATTAATAACAATCAATATGAAATAAAACAAGAAACACTTAATTGTTTAGGCCTCAAAGAAAGGTTGAGTTACACAGTCAGAAATATCATACAAGATTGTCACTCCTACTAAATTTAGGAAAGCATAGTCACCCTCAGTCATCAGTTCTTGCTGTAAATGTATAAAAGAGGCCAATATTACATTGGATATTTTACTCTCCTTTGTTGCCTTTTTCAGAATAAAACCATGGTAACATGCTATCAAAAATTATGTAAGTAACTCTTTCTTATATAATTAGTTAGTACCTATATTATGTTTCTTATGTCTTGATATATTTTTGAATATTTACTTAAGGATATTGCTTTAGCAGATATCCTAGTTAAATAATTTTAAATGACATTATCACTGGAATTTCAGACTATGTCAGCTAATTTAAATTAATTTTTCATGACATCTTTTTATTTTAGTATTTTCTGGAAGAAGCAATTTTGGCTTAACAGGTGAATCAGTCCCTCTCTGCTGACAGGAGCAGTAAATTCATAAGATCAGAGAGACAAGCAAAAATTGCAGTTAGAATCCAGTCCTTGCACAGATGAGAAAAATGTTTTAAATTATTGATTATATTTGAGCATACAAATCTACACATCTGCATGTAGCAAAACATGAGCCTATGACCCAGCTTTTAAAAGACTTCTTTCTATCAACAGAAAGAGGGAAATTCAGCAAGTGCTTTACTACAGCCTTAAAGCTTTTAAAACATTATGCCTAATGCCACTAGTAATAGAGCAAATCACCTTTTGGTACAGACAACGTAACTAGATATACTCTAATTACAGAAAATGCATTTCTGTCACAACCATGACCACGTGGTGATGGTGAATTTCAATTATTATATCCCCTTAAATTTGCATATATTAAAAAAGATGGCAAAAGTTATTAAGTCCAATCAGTGTAGTTAGACTTCTAATTTTTACTTTACACATATATTCACAAAGAGATTATTTTATGCAGCCTGCAAGAAAACTAAATATTAGTAGCTGATTTACTCCTGTTTTTCAGACTAAGTGAAAGTTTCTGGTCTTGGTCACTTTATAGCCTATAAGAGACTGACCATGTTGGCCCTGCTCCAGTAAAGAAGCAGAAGAACATGCTTAATAAACCCCCTGGATTCATTCTATTCTATCACATTTGGCAGATGGCACCTTCCACAACACATTTCTCCTTGTTCTCTGCTAGAACAGGGGAGTACACCACCTACTGAAAAACCACAGGTCTCCCACACAAATCCTGATACCAGAGGGACTACATACATACACTCACATGCTTTTCTAGATGAAACCACAGTGTACTTTGCAGAGTGATGCCCTTAGAAATAAGAACTTCATTGTACCTTCCTGAAAAGTAAGCCCCTGAACTATCTAGTACCATTCTTCAGCACCTGACTCCTGCAACAGTTTGTGATACCCTTTTAATGGTTTAATAGGTGCTCTTTCACTTTCATTTGAAAACACTGTGTAAAGCAGCACGTATGGACAGATTGCTGAACTGGCTGCAGTTTGGAACTGTAGCTCAGCAATCTATATATAGAATAACTATAAAGTGCTTTAGAATTGTTTCACATGAAAGGTGCAAATAAATACCGGGTCCTCTTATGTGGTCTCCCTGGAGACACATAGTCCTGGTGAGCCCACACTTGAGAGCATCCTAAAATTGTTACAAAAATTTAATAATGATACTGATTTTTTACACTGGAGAATGCTCCTTCCTCCAATATTTACTGGGGTTAGCGTCTCACAGCATTGTAGCCAGCAGGCCTGCTGCTTGCCCTTCATTAGCTGTCTTGCTGGATCCAAACATGCTCATCTGGATGAGTAAAAAAAGGTACAGTGCTACTCCGGGAATCTGCACAAAAATGGCCCCTTTAATGTGCAGATCTTAGGGTTGTTAGTTGATTCCTTCTGATTGCCGTTTGCTGAAAAGATGAACTGTCAGCACACTGTGCAGTATCATTTCTCTTTTTTGGTTAATAGGCTCAAAATTTCAGGCACTGAGTATAGCACATCTCCACAGCTGAATGCTGACAGGTCTACCAATAGTCAACATTTTCCAGGATTTGGATTATAATATTCAAATAGCTCTAATGAATATCTATATAATGCAGCACTGCACTGCTTATGATCTGTTCCCAAAACATCTGACTATAAATGGGAAGCATCTTTATTGCTTTTATGTATGAGGAACTGAAGCACCAATGAGTGAGCAAACTGTGTCAACATAGAGTCAAACCCCAGAATGACTCCATGGATCATATTCCGTTGTAGTACACAGAAATCCCCTAAGAACAAGTAGTATTCTATTTCTACACAGTAGTTATTTTATACATTGGGGGTAAATCCTGCTCCCAGCAAAATCAAGGCAAAACCCCCACTGAATGAAATATGATCTGGATTTCACTTTTTTGGAACCAAACTTGAGTACTTTATCACACATATCAGAAGTATCAAATAGCCTCACAGCTTGATGACAATTCATTGTCTATTACAATTCTGAATCATAAAAATGCAATACCAAACAGATATTTTATCTTCTTCAAGTTTTTTCTATTCACATTATTGTGGCTCATAGGACTACTGTTTTCCTTAGCCATGACTACTACACACTAAAAAGGGAAAAAGAAGTAACAAAGAAAACAGAACACAATAAATCCTATTACCCAGTTGACTGAATAAATGTAGATTATCACCATGTCCATATCAAACCGCCATCCACGGCTGTCGTCCTCAAAGTCCATGTAGTCCATCCTGTGAGCAGCATGTGGGAAATGCCTCCTTGTTACAGTATCTGAGCGTCTTTGAAAACCTGCTGAAAAACAGAGTAGGAGATAGAAGTCTTTACAAAAGCAACCACACTGAGTTAAAAAAAAAAAAAAAAAAAAAAGGGCAAACCGTCCTTCCCCGGGTTTTTT